TAATCCTCTACCTTGAGTGGCGCTTGGGCCTTGTATTGAGTGAACTATCAGTAATAAAAAGCAAAGACTGGTTGCCAAGGATAGCTAGAGAGCCAGTCTGCCTTGCTTTTTAACCCAATGCTGGAGGGAGAAGAGATGGATTCATACCTTTCTCAAGACTATTTGTACAAAAGAGAATGTAATGAACTCAATCAGAATTCAAACTTGGCTTCCCAATTTTTTGTTTTAAGTCACTAATCATTAGACCAACTACACACTCATTTATGAATATAAACCATTCAAAATATCCATCATTCATAAGTGAAGCTCTTTTTACAAATATACTTTGGTATTTACATATTACTGCATTTATGCAAATGTAAATATGGTGATGTTTTGTTGTTTTTGTTTTAAAAAATAATAAAAATAATCAAAATCTAATTATTCATTAGCTTCTGGCCATTTTTTGCAAGTATCATCAAGTTGGCAAACTGGAAGATAAAAAAAATGTTCCAAAAAACAAAAAAAAATGGAGGCAGAGAATTTAATTCTAATGCCTCATTCGAATGCAGCCCACTAAATATTATGTTGTTATCTTTTTATTTGTTGTTTGAAGGAAAGAGTTAGAGAAGTAACTTCTTATTTTTCATCTTTTCTAATTTCTCTTCTTTTATTTTTTATTTTTGTTTATTTCACAGCCGAGATGAAAGACAAAATATCAGAAGAGGAAGTCTGGAGGTAATGGTTGCTGCAAAAACAAATGGATCACAGCTGGAAGCCATCCACCTACTGAAAAAAATAAATAAATTGCTTTCCACCAAAAAACAGATTAGTGCCCCAAATATACTTACCACAATTAAAGTTAGTCTGTTATCTTTTGCAGGTTGAGAGTGGGAAGTAATTGTGTACAAGGAGAATGGTGTTGTCCAGCAAAGTCTTTTATGTATCTAACCAAATTTAAGCAGATACTAATTCCTGTAATTGTAATATGAGGACTATGATTGTCTTTTCTGACTAGCATTCTTGTCTTTCTTTATTTTTATCATTTTGATCATTCTCTTATCTTCATCCATTGCATCCAATATACTTTTGTGGATTTAAATAGAACTAACATGCACTAATCCACATCAACTAATTTACTTCATTCTTTTTATGACAACGAATCTAGCAAAAAAAAAAACACCTCATCTTACAAGTTCATACAAAAATCAAACAGAATTGTTTATTTCAATTCCAGCAGATTTTTTTAACTCTTGTGACCAATCTTTATGAATTTGTTATGACCTAGGAATCTTTGTCAATTTAAATACCATACTTTACCCAGTAAAGATATTTAAACTGATAAGGTCTGAAAGAATTGATTTGTTTGAGAGGCCTAACTAAGAAACACATCCAAAAGAAATTTTAATATTTGGTAAGATTTTCCAAAGTGGGTAAAACCTGAGAACTTTTCAGCACATCCTTATACAATAGATTTCCATGAGTCAAAATAAAGCAGACTAGAATAATTTTCCTTCCAACTTTTCTATAGATTTCTATAGGGAAAGAGTACCATGAAATTTAGAAATACTGCACTGTGGTGACATTTCTTAATTTAAAATATTGAATATATATATATATATATATATATATATATATAAAATATAAAAGGTTCAAATTAATATTTCATGGTTATAATTTATTTCATTGGATTCATAATAAGAACCCAATTCATCAGACATACAAATTCAAAAGGTTTTTGAATTTGTAGGTCTGATGAATTGGGTCATTATTATGGATCCAATGAAATAAATTATAACCATGAAATATAAGTGTTTGAGCTTTTATATCATATCCTTGCTCTGTCTATGAAATAGAGCTCTACCTGGATTATATCCTCTTGGAAATATATATATATATATATATATATATATATATATATATATATATATATATATAGTCAGGTGTTTGTAAAGTGATAACATTTTACCAGAAAGGATAAAAGACAAATACAGGTTAAATTTTTTCAAATATAATTTATCAAAAATGTAATCATGTTCCTTTTCAAGGATTTCAAGCAAATTTTGAAATTCCCCATTCCGCTGAAAGAAAGGCTGTTTTCAACCCCTTCTTTGTTTCTGAATGTTCTGCTACTTAGGAAATGTTCTAGTGATCCTTTTTTTTCTTGTGTTTGTTTTGGAGAGTACACATTTGCATTGCCATCACCAAAGTTAAGCAACATCAAGCCTGGTCAGTACCTAGACTTGGGAATAACAGGAACTGTAAGCTTGAATGTACAGGTGGTGTAATGGATAATGGCTTGGAATTTTTAATCGAAGAGCAGTTCCAATTCCTATTGGCTTTGTTATATTCTCTTATACCCTTGGAAAAGGTATTAATCCACGTTTTCTCCTCCCCAGCTAAAGGTTAATTAGTAAGACTTGTATCACTAAACCATTATTATCTTTCTTAAATTTCTGTCTTTAAATAACCTAAAAATTATTGATAAGCCATAAAAAAAGAATTAACCAACTAAATTTTGCATTGTCATGCTGGAGAAATAAGAATTTTTCATTTTATTAAAGCAGGACACTTTCAACATAATGCTTTATTTACCCAATCACGTTACTAACAATAAATGTCTACAGTGAGAGCCCTATGATCCAACAGCTTGTAATGGATGGCACCTTTCTTATTTAACCAGACACAAAGCAAGGACTTCTGTGGATGGACTCCTGGTTTTAGTGTTGTCATTGGTTTAGTGTTGTCTGTAGAGGGGATCCCAATATGTGGCACCTTTGGAAAGTGACTGAAAACCATATCACATATTGACCCAAGCTTTGTGATTGATATTCGGTAGACAAAATTATTTGGGAGCTGTCAATGGTTAAGCTAGCATGAAGTCACAAGTCATCGTAACTGAGGGTTTGAGCGTGTTGGCCTTGTCCAGACTGTTCCTCATACCAAACAATGTACTTTCCCCCAGAAACTGTAACAAAGATCCACACAGTATAGTTGCAGTATAAGTTTGGTTTGGTTTGGTTTGTTTTACAGCATATCAACCTCAATGGGTCATTTAATGCCGATAACTTTCTTTTCCTGGTAATATTTTGTTTTGTCAAAAATCTATTTCTGGTAATATTTTTTTCCTCAAAAATGTATAGCTCATAATATTATTTTCCTCAAATATGTATTGCTGGTAATAGTTTTTTTTCTTCAAAAATTTATTTCTGGTAATAATTTTTTACAAAGTTTTTCTGGTATTAAAACCTATTTTTACACTTTCATAATGCCTTTTACCTCAGTTTCAGGGTTAACTATTTAGCTGGGACCCTAACAGGTGCTACCACCCCAGGTGGTAATTGAGAGGTGGTTCCACGCTCCTCAAAGCCTTCTGATCAGAGGTCTTGCAGTTGGACATAGTTTATCGTCTTACCCTGGACATGGATGTAGTTTATCATCATACCCAGGACAGAGTTGCAGTATAAACCACAGGCAGGCTCTGTAGGTGTTGAACAAACAAAAATGTTCCTGAGCAGGCGTCTGCAATAGGGATTGGTTAGCCACCCTAGTAGACAGGCATATTTGGATATGAGTGATCGACTGTTACTAATATACATTATTTTCTAGCAATTAGATGCTTCATGGCAAATAAAGAAGCATTATTATGTGCGATAAATGTGATTGACATTTATTTTATAATTAGAGCCACATCACCATATATTCGTGACAAAATTAATTCTGCAAATATTTCTAATATTGTATTTGAATCAATGAATTTTTTTCATTACGCTTTGTTTTTTAATACCTATTATACATTAAAAATCATAAAGCTAGAGACATTTCTTCATATTGAAATAGGCATAGAATGTTTCTAACATTTGGCAAGGCAACTTAAAATGAAAATATAACTACCACCAATATCTGGAGACATGGCATAAATAGTCAACATGTTACGCACCAGAAATAGAAACACAGGTGTATAGTCTAAAAGCTGTATAGTCCTCAGCTTCAACAACTGAACCAGACATGTAAACTGATTCTATACTGATAGTTCTATCTTGAACATCTCGATCCTAACAGATTTTATGATGAAAGAAATAACCCTGTGGTCTTTATTAAAAAATCTAAAAACTTCCTTATTTTTCACTGTTACATTTTTTTTTAATAAAAATATATTCACATGAATATCATTATTAAGATGTTTGTATCATGTTCATAAAATGCAAATGGTTTTATTAGTAGGTTAATCCCTGTGTGCTCAACTTGTTTGCGCTTTCTAAGTTTTTCATAACAACTATCAGTAATTGAAATATCAATGAGTATTTTCTGATACATTCATGTTACCATGGTAATCCTCCTCTTCACTCTTTCTCTCAATTTTTTTTCTGTTTTGCTTAGTGTTCTCATAGAGACATCAAGAGAGCAAAAGATAATGGTACTTTTGTTGTGATATGGTCAGATCAAACATATAAATACAATTATTTCATGACAAGCTTACAATTATGACTCAATGGTAGAGCAGAAAACTGAAAGGCTAACAGATCTGAGGTCTGGTTTTGGGTTTTGGGCTTGTCATAGATTTTGCCACAAAATTTTAATACACAAACAAATGTTATGTGTTAGCAGCCTCCAAAAATGAGATTCTGTCTGTCACACATTGCATATGATATTGCGTGTACATATGTAATGCATAAACGTATGTCTGTGTTGTGTGCAAATGACTTATATATCTTTGTGCCATTTAATGTACACACACCTAACTGATTTATTTTTACAGCTTATTGCCCCTTTAGAGGTTATTTAAAGCCAGAAATTATTTTGAAATTGTAAGAATTTTTCTTTTTTTTAAAATAATAATGGTTTAGTGATACAAGTCTTACTAATTAATCCATATCTGAAGGGAGAAAAGGTGGATTCATACCTTTCCCAAGGGTATTTACACATAAGTAAATATAACAAACCCAATGAGAATTGGAACTCAGCTCTCCGATTAACAATTCCGAGCCATTATCCATTACACCACCCACACCACATCCAAGCTTACAGCATCTGATATTCCCAAATGGTCACCCATTTAAGTACTAACCAAGCTCAATTTTGCTTAACTTTGGTGATTGTATAGGGACTGCTGTTTCAATGTAATGTTGCCATAAGCCAATACATGCTCTGTTTGATACTGGAATAATACATTAACTTCCCACTGCATCTGGATAACCCCTACATTGGGCTGAGTAACAAAATCATAACATTGGAGATAAAAAAAGAAATATGTAATTTTTAAGATGCTAAAATTTTATTGAACTTTTCACAAAGTATTTGATAATAAATAAAATTATTAAAAAAATTCTTTTTTAAATTTTGGAGAATTATTTTAATTTTATTAGATTGAAATGGACATCTGTGTGGTGATGACTAATGTCCCTTTGTCTGGCAACAAGCACTTGGTAACAGGAAAAAGGCTGTCCTTTGAAGTCATTTTTATGACTCTCTTTGTCTTTAAACTGAATATATTTTCTAATAAATATTTTTCAAAATGGGAACACAATTTTGATTTGAAATTTGAGCATCTTGTCATCAGTTTCAGCGGAGCAACAGGTACTGAACCGGTGGCCATGATATTCATAATAAAATTGTAAATATATTTTAGTTGATGTAAATAATAGTCTTAATATGTCAGCTGAATCTGACAGAAATGTTCGGTACCCAATGAGGATTAAGCTCACTGCAATAGTACCAGATTGAAAAGTGAGTTTGCTAAATGCTACACTATAGTGAAACACACAAGTGTGATATACTAGTTTCTAAAATTATTTACATTCAATATCCACTTGCACAAGAACAACAAACCCATTATACTTACATCTGATCTACCTATTGCCAACACATACCGTACATTATTTATTCATTATGGCCTGCACATTACTGATCTGTAGTCATTTTTGTCATCATTTCTTAAGCTGCTGCAGGGTTTAAGTCCTCATTTGTCAACCATTCCTGTATCTTCAGCCTTACTTACATAATTCAAATCCTGCTTCATTCACTTCATTTATTATACATAAACAGAATGAAAGCGCCTTAACTCAATACATTTCCTATATATATATATATATATATATATATATATATATATATATATATATATGTACTTTCAAAGAAACTCAAGTGCTTTCATATATATGTGTGTGTGTGTGTGTGTGTGTATAAAACTTTCAGATAGAGTATGTCTGTAAAAAAACACAAAAGGAAAAACTTAGCTGAGGCATTTCAAACTCTGAGGGACTTTATCAAAGCAAATGTGTCTTGATAAAATCCCTCAGAGGATGAAATGTATTAGCTATGATAAGCTTTCCTTTTGTCTATCTATATATATACTAGCCAAATTACCCATGCCTTGCTCCATATCACATTTTTTGTAAGAAAATGATGATTGATTTTAAATCATTGTTATAATTTGTGGAGAAAAATGATGCATTTCAATATTACTCAATGATCTTGCCAATGTGACCTCCATCTTCTGGCTTTCTCCTATATTTTGGATAGGAGTCATTCTTTTGTTTAAATTTAAATCAATAAGGAAAAAATAAATTTCAAAAACAGCTTGATCTGATCCCTTTGATATATATATTTGATGCAATACTTGATTGAATGAATTGATGAGCAGATTTAAACATTGATATGACAATTGAATTATTGAAACAAACATATATTGTAAGGCAATACCCACTGATTGGTGATTTCTTGCTCAACTTGATGTTTATATTGTCTCATTTTGTGACTTCCATCTTCTGGCTTTCTCCTTCATTATTTTGGATAGGAGTCATTCATTTGGTCAAATTTAAATTTAATTTATATCAGAGGAAAAAAATTTTCAGTGGGGGTTTTGTGCCCCTCAGAAACACACTTTGATCAAAATGAAATATACTTATTCAAGTACCCTGGGTAATGTAATTTCAGAATTAATATGGTTATGGAGGTCTATCTCCAAAACCCTAGGAGAAGGTCAATAACAAAAAACAGACAGACAGAGGCAATTATATATATATATATATATATATATATATATATATATATATATATATATATATATATAATTTCTCTGTCTGTCTCTTTGTTATTGACCTTCTCTTAGGGTTTTGAATGACCTCCATAACTATATTAATTATATATATATATATATATATATATATATATATATACCTGGCACAGGATCCATCCCTGTGCTGGTAATATAAGCTATGACTACTGTGGACTGGCTCTGACAAGCTTAGACCAGCTTGGACAGGCTAAGACACTCAGGTCCCCATGTTAAAAAAACTGACCTTGTGTCACAACCTAACTCCGTGAGGGCGGAGGGTCAAGTAAATACAAATTACTCTCTCTCGAGTACTTTGTAACACCCTATTTATCATCTCTCAGTTGCATCTCTGTCCTTGGAGCGACTCAATCAAAGGACAGAGTTGCAACTGAAGAAAATTATACTGAGAGGTGCCAGCTGCCTTATGCCATGCCCTCTCATTGCACCAGAGAGAGGAATTGGTGCACACACCAAGGCCAGTGCAACCAACAGTTGCGAGGGCTTGGGAAATTTTGGTTGAACTTGTGCTCCCAACATTAAACTGACCTTGTGTTACAAAACATTTTAAGCTAGCTGCAATTTGGAACACAAAAGGAAAATAAGCATTACTCCCCTTGAACCATGAAAGCAACGATAATGGCTAGTATAATATATAGATATATATTTTTAACCTCAAATAATCTGGCGACTCTGAATCACTCCCTGCAACTAACTTTTCTAGGGCTTTTGAATGAGCTATGAATCATTATAATCAGACCAGTGGCAGTGGAGGAGTTGCTTGGGTACACACATGCACAAACACATATATTGTACTTTATATATAAGATATATGGTGTGAAATGGGTAAATTGCTGCCATTTATATTTTTAATTTTGTGCATGTGCGCTGTTTGTTTTTGTTAACGGCACAGTATAGTAGGGTCAGTTACATATACATACATACACACACACACACACACATATATATATATATATAGTTTAAAAATCAGGAGGTCAATTGATTAACCTCCTGATTTTTAAACTTAAAAGCTCTACATGTTATTTTTACTTATTTTTTTCTCACATGTATTGAGCACTTTTTAATACTACTGTTCCCTGGCCTGATTCAACTCTGACCATTAACCTATATATATATATATATATATATATATATATATATATATATATATATATATATACACACCCTTAAATAAAAAACGATCTTTTTTATGTGTTGGCATTCATTCAGGAAGTAGGTGATCAGAGATCTCCACAATTTCCTGTACTTTGTAGCTCTTAATAGAGTTTGTCTTTTTGCTATCTAAGTAGATTTATGTGTTGTTTTCCTCTGGCCTTCTTGCTTTCAATCTGTCCTGTGAGTATTAAATTTTCCAAGCTCTCTTTCTTTATTATCTGCTCTAGAAAATTCAACTAACTCTTCCTGATGTTAAATATAAGATTCCTTTTTGCTTCCATTTTCTATAAAACTTCATGGTTGTTCACATGTTTGATCCATGGTATGTTTAGCATTCTTCTGTAGAACCCCTTTTTTTCTTTTACTTCAAGTCCCTTCTACATTTATAAGGAGATTGACCAGCATTCACTGTCTTATAGGAGGGCTGATATTACGTAACAGTTCAGTATTCTTTTCTGTGTTTCTAACAATTTTTTCCCATTTATTAATACTCTGCTTAGCTTTTCAAAGCAACCTTTCACTCCCACAATGCACAACCAGATTTAAGTGTCACACTTTATGTCCTCTGTTGGAACATTTCCCAAATATTTAAATTTTTGTAATTGTTTGATTTTTGTATCTCCAATTTGTAATTTGCATGTTAGGCTCTTCTTTTTGCTGACATCTTCTTGCAGTTGATGTTCAGTCCTTTCTTATTGCTTTCCTTCACTACCATCTGTAGATGTTTTTGCAGTTTCCTTTCTGTCTCTGCCATCAATATTATATAATTTGCATATCTTATATTGTTAAGATTATGGCCGTCAATAATGAATCCTCATAGGACTTGTAATTCTCTCATAATCGCATAACTGTATTGATTGAATAAGTCTGGTGAGAAGACACATCCTTGCCTTACAATCTTTTTTTATTTTTGTATATCTAGATTACTTAGAATATTTTCCTGAATTTTTAAGATTGCTGGGTAGTTAAAAAAATTATATAAAAAAGTATTTACATTATATTCATCAAGTAATTATTACGGTTATTGTCCCACTTATAAAAAATTCCCAAACATAAGTCTGCCGAGAATGTTGTCAACATCTCATAAAAACACCCACCTCTGTTAAAAAATGCTTTGCTGCAATATTTTAAAGTAAAAATACATAATATTTGTTTCAATCCAGATTAATTAAACTTTAAATCAGTTAATCTTCATCAAATAAAGTTTCAGAAAAACATATTTTATTTTTGAATGATTTTTTTAATTACGTTGTGTTGACAGATTTGTCAATATGAACAATTTCAGCATTTTTACTGATAATAAAAGAAAACTACTTCCAATCAATTTAGATTAATTTTGGAATACAGCAAAGTATTTTGCTTATTGGAAATATTAAATTTAGTCTATTAGCTCGAAATTAAAAATAAAATAAAAGCTTTGAGAAAGATTTTTCATTTTTAAAAATGCATTTTAAAACTTAGGTATCACTTTTCTTTGGTGGTACCTATAGATATAGATATATTTATATATATGCGTTTGTAAGACATATAATAATATCTGAATCAAAAGTGAAGATGATGAGATAAAGTGGATAATCAATAAACAACACGTTTCGCCAAGAGCATCTGCTGTCTCTGGCTACTTCAGATTAGAATTCTAACCTCAAGAAGCCAGAGAGAGAAGATGCTCTTGGCGAAATGCATGGTTTATTGATTTTCTACTTTGTCTCATAATCTTCACACACACACACACACACAACAGACAACTTGCCAAAAGATCTAATACCTTAGCTAAGAAAAAAGATCCTGAACAAAGAAGAAAAGAAAATGAATGAAAAAATACAGACCAGAAGGTAAACATCGCAATGTCAACACTCAATGAAGGACAGCTTGAGTCGCTACTCAAGTTTT